ATACAGTGTCACAACAATGTAGTCTGTCGTTACACTGTATCCTTGAGTCCTTATTTTTTACCGTATTGTTCCACTTTGTTTTTATAATATCTGATAAATTCATTTCATATATGTATGTATATCTTGAATAATTAATTACACAATAAGGTTTCCGTCTTATCAATGTCCAATAATATACTTCAATGAAAGAAGTATGCTGTATAATTACTAAATCTTTAACTAACTTCCTCTGCTTCCATCCACAAAGGATGGATGCCGTCATAAATTGTTTGCTCATAAATTCTGTGATCTGCTTTCATAAACGATTTCGTTAATTTGTTATTGCTATTATTATAGTCAAAATGATTTGTTTCCTTGGGAACAGATAAACAAAAGCGTATAAACATCCAACCAGACGGACAGATATGCAGACGAAATGGACATATGGATGCATATGGAGACCGGCTCGATTCTGTGGGCTTTTATTGTATGAATGACTGAACGTTTAAATGATTGAATGCACAATTGTTTGGCTATTTCACATATTCATGAATGCACATTTCAAATGCATGTTCACATATTTAAAATTGTTTGACCGATGTCCCGGCTGCATAATGAAATATTTTTGCATGCAGAATTGGTTTAGTTGCATTGCAAAAACAAATCGAAGCGAAGTGCCACTGCACCCCGAGCACTCATTGCAGTTGCCATGCGTAAAGGAATTTCGTACAACGAATTTTTCATTCGGTCGGTCACTCCAAAGAATTTTACAACATTTTTTTTTGTTCTTACCAAATTTTTTGATAATTTTTTAGTGTTCAACATTTTTAGCGCTAATTTTAGTTAATGGTCATTGTCGTAAATTACATTAAATACGATTTTAACACGATTTTGCACACGAATTCTGCTGCCAAAAAGCTTAAAAGTTATTTAGTCAACATTTTCGCTCGCCTGCATGCACTTGCATGCATGTGCATGTGTACACATGTAAGGTGTATGCCCCGTCAGTGGGTGTTGCAAAATGCAGTTGCAGGAATTGATAACTGCAGGTACTTGCCTTCCTATGAGTGTGGATGTGTGTGGTTCCTGAAATTTATGTAAAATTTTCTGCACTCATGCAATTAATGTCAACTCAAATTAATTGTCAAAATATTTAATTTTGCTTTTTAATAACGTGTGGAACTGTTGGTGCCACATGTGGTAAAAATAATTACCATTTTAAGCAGTAAAAGGTTGTATAGTGCGTTACTAATTACTGTATTACGCCTACAGAAGATTTACAATTTTAAAAATTAAAGTTTAATACGAGTATGAATTTTAAGTAGCAGAATGAAATTGTACATCCCAATATTTTTAACTATTTTAATAATATTTTATATATATTATGTTGAAGCTATTTGAGCCAGTGCACTTGAGCACTTTTCTCTTTATTAACTCGGTATATCTTCATAACCCCTCTTTACACCTTGACTGGATTATTGTTCATCACTTCATCAGACTAAGCAGTAATTGACCTCAGATCTACAGAAATATTGCTTTGCAGATTCATTAAAAATTGTTTATTATCAAAGCAATCTCAAAATCACTCAACTTGATCAATCCATCGAAGACGATCTTATCCATGCGTCTTTTTTATCAATGCTGCCGACTGCTTCGAAATGATGGTTCTTTTATCCAACATTATGAGGAATTATGGAATCAAAACGGTTTATTAACTATTTGAGGAGGACTGTTTGCCATCACTTTACCTTACCTATGCATCTTTTTCTTCCAACTACCGTGTCAAACACCTTCTTCGATAGAGCATAGTTATACATATCCACAATATGACCAAGCCAGTGAAACCGTTGGGTGTTAAGTGAATATTTTTTGTATTGATTAAGCTGATACAGCTAATGGTTCATACGGAAGCAATATTTGTAGCCAGTTCCTAGAGGATCAAAGACCTTATAAAAAGCTTTTATGATACATATAAAATCGCAAGTTGAATAGAAGACCTATAGAGCCTTAGTTTTATTGTCCGAGACAAAACTGTACATCTCAATTAGCTAAGCTCATGTATTGACAATGATAATATTTCGTTTGATTTCCAGGTTGGCTCCTTTGTTTTTGAAAGTTTAGTATAACAAGGAAACTAACCAGCTGTTTATGGAGGAAGTTTTTGAAGATCTTCATCTAATAGTAGGTATACACTTAGAATTTTGTGTCTACTGTGGCCTAGTGCATTATAGTTGGTGATCAAGTATTTCAGTGACTTTAGATTCTTTTTTTTTAGAGTGAGAACGATGCTTCAAATTAAAATGACTCAAATTAAAATGCGTCAAAATTAAAATGACTCCGATGCCATTCCAATATTCTATTATTTTTTTTTTTTGAATCCATTTCTTGAGCTCATATTTTATATTGTTTTTATTGAAGCCGAAAAAAGGAGGTTAGATCGATGAATGGATCTTCTGCCAATTTTTTGGCATAAACGTCCGCCTTTTCGTTGCCTTCGTGTCCTTCATTTCCGGACACCCAAATCAGAGAGACCTGGCTGTGTGTAGCTAGTTAATTGAGTACAATGTTACACTTTTAAGAATTTTTGCTTCGGTAACTAGAAATGATTTTAAATGATATTAAACTCGATACTTGCTCAAAGCGGTTTCAATAGCAAAGCACTGTCGAAAGTATTGGCTAAGGAATGTGCCCCAAAGGCAACCATATGGAGAGTAGTAACAAGATACTCTGTGAAATCTAAGTATTGTTAACGAAATTATTTTTAATAATGCTTCTTTAGTAGAATAAGATTCTTTTAACTGTTTTGAATCATTTATAATTCTAAATATGTAGATCCAAATCATAGTAATATAATTATTTTAGAGGCTTGCTACCTTATCTGGAGAGATCATGTTTTCCTTTGAGATTTTTGGTATCTCTTGATTGATTGATTATCTATATTTATATTTATGGTTGTGTTTGTTATATTTACTCTTCAAAAGTGATTTACCTTTGTTACTAAATACAGGTCTCATATGATACTTAACCCAGACCTAATCTACCTCTTAAATTGTGTTAATCTAATTTTTTAAACCAAAACTTATTGAGTTATTTAAATAAATAAAAAAAAATATTATTTTGTAATTAACTTAATTATGTGAAAATGATGCATATTTAAAATTAATAACTACTTTTTTGTATTAATTTTTATTTTTTTTATTTGTTCATATCTTGTTGTGAGGCAGGCAGTCAGTAAATGCAATTAAGTAGCTGTTGACTGCAAACCTTTGAATGAGAAGTCTGCAGGATTTAATGCTTGATAATAAAAATTAATGCAAACAACCATAAAGACTATAAGTTCCAAATTAATTAAAAAATTAAAAACCAGAGGCTTGCCACATTTAATGCACAGCGTGGGGGCTTTGGAAGCGCATCATGACCGGAATTAACACCTTTAATGCCATTTTAAGCCTTTTTAATTTGTTACATGGCGGAAAAGTATCTGAAATACGTTCGTAGCATTTTACAATGGAATGCAATTAATTTATTTGGCTGCATTTAATCAATTTTATGTTTTTGTGTCGTCACTGTAAATAATTACATAAAACATAAATACTTAATATATTATGTACGATACGTAACATATATATTCAACTATGTGTAAAAAAAAAAATAAATATAACTATACGATATATGATATTTGTAATATTTTATTACTTTTGCAAATGTAATTAATTTTTTTTAATTAATATTGGTTTAAAGTAGTTTTTGGCCAATGGCATTTGGTGTGTACAAAAGCAAAATATCACTGAAATATTGGTCTTATTTTATACGGTATAATATATTTAAAATAAATACATTCAAATTATTTTCAAAGTTTTAATGTTATTTTTATATTTTAATGGTTATTTTATAATTAATTATTTCAATATTTTAGCAAAATACCAACAAATTTAAGAGCCACGAAATTTTAGTCATGAGTGATTTATTTAAATCCTTTATGAAAATTTTATATTTAAAATGAATTTATTATTTTACATAATATTTTATTTAATAATATTTGGCAATAATATTATTAATAGCATAATAATCACATTTATTTAATGTTATTTAGCGAAGCTTAAACTATGAATGCTGAAATACTAATATCTTGAAGATATCACACCGTTTGTTGCTATATATAGTAAGACCTTTCGACTTTGACATATCAGAAGACTGTTAGATCTGTAGTTCATTTACTCCTTTGAAGTTAGCATGTCCTGAACAACTGACATTTTTGTTTTCATGCTGAAGGCGGAGTATCTTCCGTTCAATCACTTTCACTATGACTGTCTAAATTTAATAAGCGTCTCTCAGATCTCATCAACAACTAACTTATTGGCCTTTATTCGAATGAAAACCTGTCTTCTGTTTAGTAAGAGTCGAATCATAAGAGGGTTAACTATGCACAAGAGGTTAACTATGCTCACAGTGCCTCATTGTACCAGGAACCAGTACCTCGTATATATTCTATATTACTCTATGCTGTGTTTATAAAGTCATAAAATTATGCAAGATCTAATGCATTTAGCCATAATAGCTTATAATGGATCCTGATATGATATGTGGTCACAGCGTCTTTACAAGAACAGACATGAAGAATATTGGTGACAATCTTCTCCAGGTAGTCAAATGAGTATAACGTTTTTTTTTCGTTTGTTCTAATTCGTAATTAAGATTATATTTATATGCTACAGCAGAGCATAGGTTCCAAAGTCCGTTAACTCAGTATCGAGCTTATAAAACAATCATATTTTTGTACTATGTGTATAAATATTATAAAGTAATATTTATCAATATACAATATTTCCTAAATTGCTAAAATATCTAATATTTTTGGAATCATAAAAAAGTACTTTCTTAGTTTCTGCCATTCTTTACTTTGAAAAATTGCTTAAAATAAGCTGGAAAGTTTCAACAAATAATGTTAAATTAAAATCATATTAATCGTAGGTCCTGATCATGTATCAAGTGTTTTTTAATAGTATGTAAGACCACAAACATCGTCAACAGTTACCTTAAGAGAATTTGAAAATATATTTAGAGATCACAAACTAATATAGTATTTAATATTTACCTTTTATTAATCCATTGTGAGCAATAGAGAATATCAGTTAAACTTATTAAACATCACAGGCATGTTTAAGTTGTGAAGAAATGACTGCTTTAGAATACTCGCTATTTACTTCTTTTACCTACTAGAGGTAACCTCTTTAATAGTCATAAAATAGAATAGTAGAATAGTCATCGTTATAATATATCACAGATCACTGGCATTTGGGTTACGATCTAATGTCTTATGCTCATGGTCCTCACTGGATGTTCATCAATCATTATCAATTAGGAAAGGAAATTTAACTCTATTCGCTTGGCAATCATTGTCCTTAAGTGAGTAGCGTTCAATTGAGTCTTTGCAGTTTTGTTTCGCACTATCATGATCCTTATCACGTTGAGACGCGTACTTATTGTTTATAGCAGAATGTTGCGCAGATATAATCTGATTCGTGATCTCTTGACTTCGACGTATGGCCTCATAGTAACTGCTCATAACCATACTTCGTTCAGTGGGTCGTTTTAGTTCTATTTTTCCACTATCGTTATTACTGGTGTTTCCAATGCATTTTTTTAAAGGATTCACACATTTTTGATACCCACCAGTGTTGTAATTGTATTTATCATCCATACGAATATTATAGTCATAGTTTTTGTCGCTAGTTTTGATGTTACGACTTGTTCTAAAATTCGGACGCTTAGGTTCTTCCAGTTTTTTACATATATTATCAATCGATTCATCTTTTTCAAGTCGTTGTTCCTTAATTTTATATTCTAAATTTTTGGTAGCTGTTGCGTTGAAGGATTTCAGCAAAGTTGGGAAAAAAGATACAAACTTACGAAACATACTGCCTTCTTGGACTAAAATAAATTCATTAAAAAGATTACTATATACTGAATAAATTTCAATTCATTTATTTATTTAGAAAACTATATATCTTAATTTTTACCTTTGAGCTATTATATGATTAAACAATGGTCGAAAGTTTTATGTAAACAAATATATTCAGGGACCAGCGGGACTATACACTTTCTGCGTCTGGAATCTGTAATTTAAAGATAAGATTAATAAAATTAAAATATATGGTATAAAAATTTTCTATATAAAAAATTAAAGTTTTACACTTTTCGCAAAAAATTGAGCTGGAACCAAATTTAATATATTAGATTCTAGCGGTCTAATTATTGTTTAATACTCTTAACCTTTAATTAGTTAATTTTTATACGAATAATTTAAACAAAATCCTTAACAAACAGTAAGCAATTTAAAAAAAATATATTCTCAAATTTTTAGAATATATTACTTAAATAATAATAAAATGTCAATTTCTTCAAAAATTTTGATTCTTGAAAACCTACCTAAAATCTCCAGATTATCTGTACTGAGATTTAGGCCCAATATTTATTTAGTATCCTTCTCAACATAGCTAAGCTCACAAAGAATTAAGCACCTTCACCTTCAACTTTCAAGAAGAAAAAAATTCCTTGAATACGAGTATACGAGCAGATCCTTCAATCCAGCTTTAGTAGTAAGAAAAATATAGAGACCTTCAATATATATCCAAAATTTTAGTTAAAAGATATAATGAACTTTTCAATTTTTTTATTAAATAATTTGGAAAACAAGGGGTTTGATCAGAAATGGCATGAAATTTTCTAAGAAAAAAATTAAAACGTCAAATAATTTTCAACTAAAATTTGTTTGGAAAAAATACTTTATTTATTTTTAAAAGTTTTCTTGTGAACTATGTTTTTATTCTAAACGTAAAATTATACATTTATTACTTTAAAAACTATTTTACAGAAAAATTCTTTTAGTGCAGTTACCTGGCGGTTTTTTTTCACATTTTTACTTCTAGTAGCTTTTACATTGGTTTATTTTGTTATGTTTTTGTATACATTTGAGCACTATCTGTATGCATAACTGAAATAAATGGCGTTACTGGGTATTTTATTTTATTTTAATTCTACCTGCTGCAGCGGTTGATTTGATCCTCCACAACTTATAACTTGAGCGCTTGGATTTAACAATCAAGGAAAGAAAGCACAAGATTGGCAAACAGAGGAGAAGTTGTGTTCAACATGATAATGCCATATCAGATATTATCATTGTTGATTCCGAATAAATTAAACTTGGATGAGAAGTTTTGATGCATCTACTGTATAACCAGAAATCTGTCATTTCACTATCACTCGTTATAGTCTATTCAAAACTCTCTTAATGGTAAAAATATGGTCAACCAAATTTTTTCTTTTTTTGCAGTAGGTGGAAAGCAGCAAAAGCTATAGTAAAAAAGATTTGAACCCACTAAAACCATCTCTTAGGAATGATTGATGGTGGAAGCAACTCATGAACAGAGAGGAGTAATCAAGAACAGAGAGGAGAGCATATGGGCTAAGAGCAAACTAAATTTATTGAAGCCGAAAAATAAGGTTGTACTTATTTAGGGGGGATGAGCTCATACGTGCAGGGAAAGAGGCTTACGCAAACTTGGGAGGGAGTCTAACTAAGTGTAAACTCTGCGCTCACGATCATTGTAGCTCTAGTTGTAGAGCGAAATAGAAGAATTTGGTAGAAGAGCAAATTCTTCTTCAAGATAGTGGACAAAGAATCAAGCAGCATGGTTGGGAAGAAGTCTACTTGGAAATGTCAGGAAAATCGCGACCACGTATCAAATATCTTCTGGCAACAGAGAGTAGTTACTCGTTTATTCGAGTACTTTAGCAAAATTGAGGATAACGGAGTTAGTGAGTCTACACCCGTAGTTACCACAATCATGAAAATCTTTCGAAGAACCGGATCGACTGCATATTCCGAAACAGATGGGACCAAAGAGTCGCTAAAAATGACTTAACCAAAATTTTAACCATAAATCTACTGTGTTTCTACACCAATAGAATTATGGAGCTATCCGAAAAATGGCTAATATCATAAATAATAATTAATATAAACTTTATTAAAACATTTTTTTTTTTAATAAAAAAGTTTTTTGTTCAAAAATGTGTTAAAAAACCGTAAATATTTCTGTTATCATCTAATATATGGACGTATAAGTTATTTTGAGAGCATAACCTCAAAAAACAAAAACAGTTTTTGCATTTTACTAACACTAGTATAAAATTATTTTTTGTTATCTTTATTTTATTTGCTCGTTACTTTTATTCTCTATTCGTTTTTTATTCGCTATTGTTTAATACCTGTACGCACACAAGTGTAGAACATAAAACACCTTCAGTCATTTACAGTTCAATGAAGTTGAAGATAATTCGCATAATTTGTGTACACTTGGGTAAGCATCGGTGACAAAGCACAAATGTGAGCTTTTTCACTGCAACGTTCGGCTTTAACATTTTATATACGTCAATGTATGCGATAATTGCTGTTAAACATCTAATAAAACACAACGATGTGAAGTGAAATATATGTAGATATATCTGCCTTTAAAAAAATTCAACCAATACATAAGTACCCAGTAATAAAATAAAAAAATCTTTCAAAAATTCAAATAATATTCACAAGCCACAAGTATTAAAATACCGAAAGCAAGAATATACTAGAATATATACTAGAATACATGTAGAATATATTTCATTTTTCTTAACCTAGTGCTCTAAATCCATTAATACTTATACATCTCTTAGTGTTTTCCTACCAATTGATTTCCTGCTGGGTATAAACAGCTATTGATATTCACGTGGCGCACACACATGAGCAAACCGTGTTTTATAAATCACTTTGAAGGTACATTTAATTCAAGCATCCTTATTTGTTTTTATTAACACGAAATGAAACACAACAACAACAACAACACAAATAATCCTTAATGTTAACACGTACACACATACACACACACATACGTGAATTTGTTGTTAATTTCCGCTTTGTTTTGACGGTTGGGAATACTGAAAAGTTTTTCTTTATCATTATTTACCATATCCCTGCCAACCCATTGGAGACCCATTAACATAACGTAAATTTGCTTTTGTTTGATTTCACATTAATTTTTTTTACTTTCACTTACGTATGAGTAATATTGTTTTAACCTTAACAGCCTGTTTTGCGGCTTCTACACAACGGCGTAGGCTGACTTTTGAGTCGGGAACTTTTAGCGAGTTTTCACTTTCGAAGTTTTCCACTTTCCACTTTTGTTTTTATTTTATGACGGGTTGTAAAGGAGAGCATATATATATGTATATAATTGGTTTGTTCTTTAAACGGTTGTGAACTTTCACAACGCGATATACGATATGCCTTATCATTGATATAAAGAAAAGAGAGAAAAGTTAGTCCACATACAGGAAATTTTTCAAAAATGAACATTTGTTTTTATAATCGAAAATATTCCCTTAAAACGTTTGCAGAAAAGTACTTCATTAAAATGAAATAGTTATGAATCGAGTATTAGTTTTAACTAGTAACTATAAAACAAAAATTCACTTCTTATGTATAACTTACTGCTTATACGAAATCAAAAACCTACACCTTTAAATATACAATTGGTTTTGCAATCGTTAGAATCTGAAATCCCCAATTCTACCCTCCCTTTCTCAATACATTATTTTTCAAATTGAATCGTACATATAGCTTTCATCATGGCTATTATTATCTAAAGAAGGTCGATCACTGCCTCAGTATCCAAAATACATTAATAACTATGGCGATCCCTACTTTCATATCTAAAATACCTCTACAACTATAACAATCCCTGCCTTCGTATTCAAAATATACTTCTCTAATTCCATTAATACTTATACATCTATTAGAGTTATTAGAAATATTTAATTACTTTGGCGATCCCTGCATTCGTATGTAAATACATCAATAACTATGGTGATCCCTGCCTTCATATCTAAAATATGTTAACAACTATCGGAATTCCTGGCGTTATAGCTAGAATACCTCAACAAATATGGCGATTCCTGCCTTTGTATTTAAAATAAGTCAACAACAGCTAACTTTGACGATCCTTACTTTTGTATCCAAAATATACTTCTCTATATCCATTAATACTTATACATCTCTTAGAGTTATTAGGAAGTTTTAATTACCTTGACAATCTCTGCCTTCATATCTAAATACATCAATAACTGTGGCGATTCCTGTCTTCATATCTAAAATACCTCAACAACTATGAGAATTCCTGGCTTCGTATCCCTGCCTTCGTATCTAAAATACCTCATCAACCATCGAAATTCCTGGCTACGCATCTAAAACACCTAAACAACTATGGTGATCCCATCTTTCTAATCTACAATACGTCAACAACTAAGGCAATAGAGAAAAAATTAATGAATTGAAATAGTATCGATGACTATAAGCTATTTATACAAAACCCGGCAGGATTCATTCGGAGTTCGTATATGTGTTGCAGCTCATTTCTCAATAGATGTTCTCCAAAAAAGTTTTTAGTAATAAGATTGATATCCCAGTGAGCACGAACTGTACCGGGTCATGTCAACTTAGACTAGAGAGACATTTTAACGGTTTTTACCATACAGAAACAAGGCATAATAAACAATTCCCTTAAAATCGCACTAACCACTCAACATATTCTTGTTTGTTCCTAATACAGGCTTTTAAGTCTTTTGTAGAGGGTTGTTGATCTCACACCATGATCGCTTGCATTGGATATTTTCGTATAGAATAAATATTTATCTTCCAAGATGATTTACTTAAAAAAATTCGATTTCGTTGCTTTTCAGTAGCTTTTCATTGATAATAATTCGGTCAATCAAATTGTTGTTTGCCTTAAATTATGTGGTATTCAAACATTGGGCGACTATGAGCAGCTTGCTCTTTTTAAGTGTTTCCAAATGGTCATGTGGTTGATGTTTAGTGCATTCACCATCTTCTAGCAACTTGCTTGTCGGTCTCACTTTACCAGTTGTAAAATTTCATTAACTTTTTTGGGGACTGGCCGAGTAGAGTGGGATGTATCTTTGAGACCCTATGCTCCTAAAGGGGATAAAGGATCTAACAACATTCTGTGACCTTGTAGTGTTTTGTTTTTCACTGTTTACTGCTGTTGACTTTCAATTCATTCCAGAAGATTAAAAATATATCTGGTCTTTGTGAATGTCATTAAATAAAGCTGTGCCATCATCAATAATTTGCCCTCAATCTACTAAAGCCACTAGTGTCAAAAATTAATAACTCAAAGAGAGGTAATAAACGTATTCGTATTATTATAGATGACCATCACCCCCTGCTAATATTATGAGTATAAATCATGTGCAAAAATTTATATAAAAAAAATGCTGCAATAAAAAATAACAAAGCACATATGACGCATATAAAAATAAATGCCAAAAATGAGCACATCAGTGCTGCATGTTGTTCACTTCGTAAACATATTCTACTTAAACCCATTTCACTCTCACCAAAATTGGTTTAACCCTTTATAATATTGCATATGGAATTTCAGTTAAAAGATATATTTTTTTAGAAATTAAGCACAATTTGCATATTGCGCGCTTGATAACACGTAAAATTTAAATAACGCTGACTCGTAAAGGGTTTCATTCAAAATAAATAAAGAAATTATACTATTTTTTATTGATAAACAACTGATGTTTCACAAGAAAAACGAAAACTAAAATAAAAAAAATCTGCGATGCTCCATTGCACAATAACATTTATATATATTTTATATAAACATTATAGGTACAATGTAAATTAACATAAATTTGGAAAGAGTAAAATAATACCAAAAGGGAGGATTTAAGAGTTATCCATAAGGACTAAAGACTGATATTATTTGCTCATATGAATTCATTCAAATTGTTTTTGAAATAAAGTACTGAGTAAGGTAACTCATTTATTAAACATATTAATTGCTTTTAATAATTTAAACAATTGAATTTGAAACACTTTATGTCCTTTATCCAAAAACGGATTGACCATCACGCAAAAGTTTGGATCGAAGGCGACAACAATCGTCACAATACGGTATGTATCTTTGACTGTTCGTATATACTGGCTATATTTTACTAATATAGATAGCTAAGCTTATAAGAAACTATCACCAAAATACTCTGTAAAATATATTATGTTATAAAAGAATACATATATTTAAATGAGATCTTCAATACATACTTGAATGCTCACAATAATTATTATAGTTGATATTCCAATTAAAAACAATGGATACTTTATAGACTCAAATCTATTTACACAAGTCACTTTAATGGCATTCTCGTATGTACACGTTCTATTTAGTAGTTCATACTGACAACATGAATCTGGTAGTGTATCATTTTCATAAAACTTATTCCAAACTTCTGGACCGGTGATGCCACAGCAATTATACTAAAACAATATGTAACATATATAATAATACATATATATTATATGTCAATCATGAAATATGAAATCATATATGATTTCTAATAAATGGTTTGAAATTAGCTAAAATAATGCTAATCAAATTTTAAATTTGAACGATTCGTACCTCTGATTGTATTAAGTTTAAGACATCGCCATAAAGCAACTTCTCATTACTCGTTGTTGTTGTTCTATTGAGCATATTTTCTACTTCACGGTGCAAATTGGGGAGCATGAGAAGTATCTGGGGCAGTATAATAATTTCCATTAAGAGTATTATGAAACCCAAAACACTTTTGTAAAGTAACAGATATGGATTTCTCCAAATTAGTCCTACAATGCCGATTATACAATTAAACAACATTGTTTCCGCGAAAATAAGAGGCAAAACAGTCCAAAATTTCAACAATTTATATTTTTCATGCACTGCTTTTCCAAGTGCATAGACAGGTAGTGCTATAAACTAAAATTAAAAAGAAGAAATTAATTACAAGTAAAGTAAATTATTAAGTTTAGTAAAGTAATGAAATTGCAATGATATTTTTTACCACGAAAAAAAAAATTGTGCCATAATTTCAAGCTATAAGTGCACATCAGACGTTAAAAATATATTTATACATTGCAAAATGATACATCACAACTTTTCTTTATTCTTTTCCTCACACCCACAATAAACTTAATAAGCTATAAGCCCATACTTAACCTCAACCTCCACATTAAAAACATTCAACCAAAATATTTGAAGTGTAGTAATTACTTTTAGGGTACACTACATTTCACAACCATATAAACAGAAAAGGTACTGGAACTAACTATTGACTGTCTACCTCTCCAGTACCCACATTAAAATTCTCCAATCAAGATATGATGAGTGTAGTTGGTACTTCATGAGTACACGACATTTTACAACAATGTCGTAAAAAGAAGTACTGTGACTAACTATTGACTAACTGCCTCTCTAGTTTCTATTTACTGAGTACTTCTTCAGCTACTATTGACTAACTACTTCTCCAGTCCCCACTTTAAAATTCTGTAATCAACATACTACGAGTGTAATTAGTACTTCATGGATACACAACATTTTACAACAATGTAAACATAAAAAGTACTGGAACTCACCTTTGACTAACTGCTTCTCCAGTTTCTATTGACTAACTACTTCTCAAGTCCCCACATTAAAATTCTTCAATTAAGATACCATGAGTGTAGTTGGTACTTCAGGAGCACATGACATTTTACAACTATATAAAAATAAAAAGTACTAGGGCTAACTATTGACTAACTGCCTCTTCAATTCCCACATTCTGATTCTCCAACTAAGATACTATGCCTGTAGTTATTATTTTATGGGTTCATGACATTCTAATCCTATATAAATATAGAAAATACTAGAACTAATTATAGACTGACCACCTTCTCATACACCTCTGGTAAGTCAACTGTTTTAGGTACAAACCTTATGCGTTATTAGTTTAAGTATATGTAATTTAATCTATACTTCAGGATAGACATACCGAAACGATTTGACTGCTTGTCTAGAAAGAGACGTACAGTGACAGAATAAAGTATCAAATTTCACCTCATACTCTTTATAGCTTATGCAGATTTCGCTACTAATCGCGTAACTATCTATGAAACAATGAACTGTAATGGCGGAGATATTTTTCCTTGAACTTAGAAATCTTTGTTTCTTTTGTGACATACAACTGGCTTAAGTTTTTTTTAAATACTTTTCACTTTTTAACAGTCATACTTTGCTGTTGCAGTTGTGGGAACCTACCTATGCATTATATTATTATTCGAAATCTAAGTACCATATAATTAGCAGTAAAAATCTTACAGATTATAAAAAAAACTCTTAAAAATTTAAAAGCTTTTTTAAGCTATGTTTCAAAATATAAAATCAAACCAACAATATTTTGTTGGTATGATTGGACTAAATTAAAATTAAATAATAATATAATGAGACTTAGTGCTTTTTGGAAAAATTATTTTTAATTTAAAATTTAATAGCACCAATTTTATTTTTATTTAAAACAAAAAACATTTTAAACCCTAATACAATATTTACAAACTAAGAGAAAATACATTATTTGTTAATTTAATTTTAAAATAAAGTTTAAACTAATAATAATAAAAAAATTTTAAAGAATTCAGCTTAACAAAAAACTGTAAAATAAATTAACAAGTTTAAAAAAATATTTTACAATTATAATAAAAAATTTAGTACAATATGATATATTAACAATAGATGTATAAAATAAATAAAAAAATAATAATATGTTTGTAAAATTAAAACTGAAGGAAATCGAATTTTAAACAAATTTAAAAAAAATATCATTTAAAAATGTTTAAATGTGAATAACAATATTAAAAGTTGAAAATTTTTTTAAAAAAATTTATTGCATAATAGATAATAGATACATAATAGATAAACAGAATATTAGGAGTTTGAAAAAATGAAACTTACTATATTTACGAAGATCCCACAGACCAAAATTAATACAAGACAATTGGGACTGATTCCATAGTCGCGATTTATACCAAAACAGGGCATAATTATTATACTTTTGTATAACAATTTAAAATTGTGATTTTAGTTTTTATAATTTGACGTCTTCAGAGTTCTAATAGAGTATTAAAATTGTTCTTTACTTCCATTAAATTTTAATATCGTAGTTATGATCTTAAAAAAAATGATTAAATATTTATTAAAAAACAAAAATGATAAATACATTTTTTTTTAATATTTTGTAAAAATACATATATGCTAAAAATATTAAAATGATTTATATAATAAATATAAATATAATTTAAATTAAATAACATATTCATGATTTTTATATTTAAGAGCCAAAAATAAGTTATTTATGCGTTTAAAAAAAAAAAGCAGAATGTAAGAGTTATTTCTGCGTGAAAAAATAAAAGACACATGATAATTATTTTTCATGAATATAATATAAAGCAAATTTAATTATTATTTTGATTACAGTCCCTGAATTTATATGATCATATATTAAATTGATTTTCATCACTTTTTTTAAGAATTAAGAATTTTTTTTTAAATTCTTAATATAAAATATTGTTTTCAAAAGAGAATTATTTTGAACAGCAGTAAATTACAAGAACAAATATTTATTATTTTTTAATTAATTGAATTTTTCGCTGATCATACACATGCTTCGACTATTGCCAAGTACTCATAATCCGTGGTCTTGGAATTATTTCTTATATTTAACTATTCGTAAATGATTTTTTGAGACTGCAATTTGATATTTGTAACCCGCTAAATTTAATCGTAGATTGCTCCTTAAAAAAGTTAAAAACCCCAACTATTGGATCATATTTATTCCATATATGTGCATATTTCAAGCCGTATTATTTTTGTTGTTTTGTTTTGCATATAAATAAATAGAAAAACAAAAATTATTGCTACTAATTACTTGGAATTAATTAGTTCCTTTTTGTTGGAATGTTTTTATTAATATGTAAATATTGTCGGAATCCATATCTTTACATATAACCTCATCACAAAAACAACAAAATATAGTAGTTTTCTTATCTTTATTTTTCTGATAGCAGAAGTAAATATGTCCTCGCTTACCAGCTACTTTTTGTGATGTTAGGATTTTCATTGGTGATAGCTCATGAATCACAACTTCATAGATATCTTCATTGTTTTTTTGTGATTGAGTGCAAAAGCGATAACGAGAAACTGCTTCTTGGTCCATGGGTCCTCTTGTTCATATAACCATGGATTAATGCTATGTCTAGCTCATACCAAAAGCACTTGCGTTTGGTGTGCTTTGACTTTGGTTTCCAATCTAGGCATATTTCATTGAAAACAATATAAGCCTAAGCCGAAATATCTATCATGTTAGATAGAACGGCCATGGACCATCGATTTGTTTTGTGCTTACTTCTATAACAATGGTATTTTTTATTAGTACGGAACGTTGAGCGTACGTAGCACTTATTACAATAGTGTATTTATTTTTAAGACTAATGTAGAGCAAAAGTGTTGTGTCCTTGATAAAAGCAAATGGGGATTAATAGAGCGGGCATTTAACATTCTCGTCATCCATTCTGTCATGCTATCGAATTTACGAGATTAGTTCACATGCAGTAGTTGTCTCCAACTCATAAAGAATCAAAAATTTTACGAAGCACTTTTTTCTCGAAAACTACAGTGCTGCTTCATTAGTTTGTTTTTTCTTTTTTGTTTGATCAAACGACTTTTACTCAATAGTGTCTGTGATCCTTTAGATGATCCACTGTAATGAGAGCTCCATTCAATTATGTTAATCAGTAATTTAGATGATTTTATTGAAGTATATTTTAAAGGCCATTATATCTTCCTGACGAAATATATATTGCATTTGATTTTTGAGAAAGTGCAATTCTAAATAAGTATACGTTACCACAATATCGAACAATTTCAGCGCTCTGTCTCTAATATACTTTTGCACACTCTCCACTCTTAAGTCTTTGTGTATGTGAAAGCTTTGCTTTGTGAAGGCATCAATGCTTTAGCGCCATATAGTAGCACTAGTAGACTAAGCGATCAAGAGAGCAAAAGTTATCTTTGCCTACTGTAGAGAGAGAGCGCTACATCTTAATTGCCTTCTTAGTTCATAGTAGTAGCTATTGGCAATGGAGTTCAAGCAATAGAGTTTGCATACTGTATTTTTTTCAAGCAATTATCAGTCTCTATGCTTTTAATAAGAGCAATGATATTCGTAGTATATTTCATCATTTTTCCAGGGTTGTTATAATAATAATAGCTCAACTGATTTAGTGTTCTGTTATTACTTTGCTCTCTATTCAGAACATATCTGTAGGACAGTATATTATATAGTAAAAAATATACAAAGCATGTAAAATATTAACTGAAATATTTTTATATATACGAGGCCGGTTTGATAAGTCAGTGACTTTTTGAATAAAACATATTTTTTTCGGCAAATAAACATTTTATTTTTCTACATAATCACCTTTTAGCTCGATAAATTTAGTCCAGCGTTTTTCTAATTTTCTTATTCCCTCCAAATAATAGAATTTCTCCAAACTCTCAAAATACGCGTTTGTTTCGGTAATGACTTCTTCATTCGACTCAAATCTCTTACCGCCCAGCCATTTCTTTAGGTTTGGCAGTTCGTATTCCAATTCGTGGATTTTGGTCAGTAATGCTTAATCAGCACACGAAGTTCACTTTTTTCCATTTTTGTAAAAATTCACGAGGTTGTTTGCTTTGAACAATTATCAAACACCAACTGAACGACGTAGCTTGCTCAAAATTAGAAAGTTGCCTACTGGTAGATTACAGCTGACGGCACCACTGTTGCATTTGGCGTAACTGCGCGGGTAATTCAAAAAGTCATTCACTTATCAAACCGCCCTCGTACAATAAACCTATATTTATATTATATCAATATATCTATCAAATATTTAAATAATCAAATGAACTGTTTAACAGAAATTTCTTTTAAAATCTTTAAATGGATGAACCTAAAATGGATTTTTAAAGTGTAAACCAAATTCATGCAAACTACTGAATACTGTAGTATATCTCTGTATTGGGAATAAATTGATAGCACCATCTGAAAGCCTACAAAAATTCCTGCCATATGCAAAAACTATGGAACAACAAAGTTTGCATGCCTCACTGATTTGCTTCTGTTGCACTTTACATTCTCGATGAGGTTTTTGCAGGCAGCTTGACTGGCTTGAGTTTCACGTCTGAGTATGTTTTTGTTATTTTTAGTAAAAATCACAAATTCATGCAGTTTTTTCTCAAAGATACTATGAAAATGAAAAACAGAAAAGTTCAACTAATTGTCGTGCATAACTGAACTGAACAACTTTCACAAACAAGTTAAGTCTAACTGGCATAAAATTTTGAATATGTAAATATTGGTTGCTTACCTAAAATTATGCATAGCAACATTACTAAACTAACATTTCAACAAATTCAAAACAATAACATTGGCAATACTACACAAACAACAACAACAGCAACAACAAGCAACAAGCAACCATAAACACATTTCAAGCAACAGAATTTTGTGGTTCCCATAAATTGTTTACACAGTGCCATTTCCACGATCATAGTTCGAACTTTATGTGTGGTCATTAAGTCCTTCAAGCTGTTGTGCTTCTGCATCGATGCGTATATTATGTATCTGTGTGAGTATCCGTGTGAGTATCTGTGTGTGCTATGCGACTGTGCATGTGTGTGCGTATAGTTTACAGTGAAAACATTTCCGCAAATTAACATATTTCTGGTCTACAAAATGGTATCACTGCTACTAAGGCTTCCAAATTGCCATAGGCAAATGCAAATTTACGTTTGCGGTTTCGTTCCACAATTAATTGCACGTTAAGTTATTTATAAATTTAATTATGCATTAAACACACAAATACACAAACTTCAAAATGCACAAAGCACAGCACAACACAGCGGAAAACATTCCAACAAAATTGTACACTGCAAAGGATCCGAAGCAGGATGTGCCTTATTTGTGTTTATTTTCCTTACGGTTCGAGCAGCAATTTGCGAATTTAGTTTTGGCACAGCTGAAAAAATTTTATTCCTGTGCATTTTAATGAAGTTCTTAAGTTCATTTAAGTTTTAAGAGAAGCAACAACATTATTCATATTTCATCAAAACAACTTTACACTAAGAAAAATGAGAATATTATAAATTAGAGATTTTAAACTTGTAGTAAAAAAAGCATATAACAACATCATCACAGTTATCGTTGACTAACTACAAGATTATAAATAGTTTTTAAAGATTTTAAGCAAGATACACACAAACAGAGAAAGAACGTCCGGTACCGCCACTCTACCGCATGCACGCTGCGATTATACCATACCATATCAGCCATATTAAGTAGTAGAGTACACTGAATCGTCACTATGTAAACTTAAATATATCTCACCGTTCAAGCGGCAGAGTGACGACAGTTAGGGGTTTTGTTGATAGTGTACAACGAGTCTAAAGCTTCCGAATGTAGGTTGCCAAAAAAGTTTAAGTGCTAACTGTGAAAGAGAGGTTTGGGGTTACCTGATAATGCAACTCTAAACATAGAGTTGCCACTAAAACAATTTAAAGCAATTAACACTCAACTATAACAAAAGATGGGAAGACTCAACGATATGTAGACATCTGTATGCAATCTGGCCACTTTCCGATAAAAGGAAATCGAAAACTAATTGAGATGTCCCGCAAGGACATTGGTCTTCTGGTAAGGTTGACTACAGGACACTGTAAACTAGGGAACCATGCTAGAAGACTAGGTCTTCCTTTCAACCAAATCTTTCGTAGCTGTGGGGAGGACGATGAGAGCGCATCTCATCTTTTGTGTTTTTGTCCAGCTCATGCACGTCGGTGATTTAGTACTCTAGGAGCCCCCTTCCTTGAGGACCTGGACCAGTTACAGGACCGGGCTTTAAATAGCATTTTATGCTTCGCAAAAGGTTCTAGGTGGTTTTAAACCCTGAGGTTTTTATTATTTATATACGGCATTACAATGGGCCAATAGGCCTAAGTGGATCCACTAGGGATCACCGGTATAACCTAACCTAACCTAACACTCAACTAAATTAAGCAGTAGAGTATACTGCATCGCCAATACGTGCACTTAAATATGCATCTCACCGATCAAGCGGCAAAGTGACGGCTGTCAAGGTTTTTATACATTCTGTAAGTTTCTCAAAATGTTTAATTGCCAATTATGTAAAAGAGGTTTGGCGTTACCTAAAAATTCAACCCTGAACATGGGGTCTATCACTAAAGCAACTTTAACCTTTTGTCCATTTTCACGATCACATCTCGAACATTTACTTCTAGTATCTCTTCTGTTTTGACACCTTTCTGCAAAAATCGAATAACTACCAGCTTTGAGGGGTTGAACTTTGTCCATCTTGTTGGAGTTATTTATCTCTCAAAATTTGCTAATGACACACCTATCTTAAATAATATGTACTGCCACTGTCTTTAAACATTTTAAAGTTGCATTGCTTAGTACTAGCCACACCTATGCTCTACCTACCTTCCTATCTGACATTTTAACTGAAGTTTCAAATATTTTCTATACTTAGCAAGAACTACTAGTTCATAATTGCATCATATATATTTTCTCAGTAACAAAAGGTGCATCGTTTCCAATTTAACAACAGGCAATGAAAGCAGAATGAAACTGCTTTGCTTTGATATATCCTTTCTGTCCTTTTATATTTTTAACTCATTTAAGTCAAAGCAATACTTTGTAGTGGAGGCAGTTAGCGAACTGAAGCATTGACATACTGGACGCCATTGAGCACTGTAAGGCACAAATGTTGGATTCAACGAAAAAGTATAACGCAACCGCGGCTTTAATTTGAAGTGAGTAAATCGCTTGTCATTTTCTTGATGTGTTGAAGAATGTCCGCCCCTGGCGAATCAGTATTTTTGTCTCTTTCAGGCGCAACAATTCTCGCAATTATTTATGTTACAATTATTTACTTTTATTTTTCTTTTTTTTTTGTATATTCATTTATAAATGTATTGTGGTACATTTTTAAGTGGTGTTTTAGGTTTCACAAAATTAAAAACTAGAGGTTCAATAGATCATACGAGTAGTATTAAAATACACAAAATTGAAGCACTGCTTATAAATATGGTGGTTGGTTTACGCTAATGTATTTATTTTATAAAAAGAATCACTAAAATATTCGCTAAAATCTTGGAACTTGTGGAACAAGACTGGAACTCGAGCAGTTAGTAGATATTGTAGGCACTATACCTCAACCCCATAGCAGATTGGAATCATTTCAAAAAAAATAAAAACAGGCTACGCAAAGTTACTCTCTGTTTGGGTGTCACATGAGTTAACGCAAAGAAATTTATTTCTCCGAATTACCATCAGTGAATCTCAAAGAAATCGTGCCATTCTTAAAGCTAATCATTACCGATGTTTAGAAATTAACTAAATTCCAGCATATGCAATGCAAAGTCATGTTCAAATTCCGGTGACTCTCCCACAAATGACTTTAAAAGCCTAGATTAACGACAAACAAGGTTATCTTGCGTGTGATACGATCTGCTTCAGTATGGTAAAAAGGTTATATGTGTACTTTACTGCTCACAACTCAACAGCTTAAACAAATAAATTGAGAAAAATCGACCAGAACTGTACAGCCAGAACATAAAAGAACAGACAGAAATGAAAATGTGTTCCAATATGAGAATGCCAGGTCACATACATATTTGATGACTCGTAACAAATTGACAGAATTTGCTTGGGAACTGACTACCATTATTAACTATTACTTAAATTATTGACTCCTAAGTGGAGTTTGATGCTCAACAATTAAATCTAAATCTAAACAATCTTAAATCTAACTTTATTACAAGTATTAACAGTGACCTCGTACCAGATATATATTTGGCCTTTCAGATTTCTTGTTCAATCGTACGCCTTCATGGCCTCTGTTAAGCTCTTTTATTGGTTAAAAATACACCAACCGAACTACAGAACCAATCTGACCACAGAAGTTCAACATCCATCAAATCATGATGCTACCCAAAAAGTTTCAAAAGGTCATATATTATTTATAGTCAGTATAAACTTGATTAGTTTGATTAAAAAACGGTGGATAGTTTTTATACCACTTAATAGTGTATAAAATATTGTAATTACGCAAGCTTATATGTTAATAGATACGTATATTATTCTTAACTACATTTAGTGTTCTATATTCCTCTTAAGTTTCAATCTACTGGCATTGGCTGACCTAAAGTGTAACGGACTATACGGCCTTGTAAATTATGATTGTCGGCCATTTGTAATTAGCACCTATTGCCGGTTATTCCGTTTGTGCAGAAGGCTACGTAGTCAATTAAGGTTGAGTTGCAAGTCTCCCTGTGTCTTGTTTGGGTTAAGTTAAATTTTTTATTACTACCGCTGCTTGAAATTTACGTTACGTCCCCCAGCCCACGGCAATTGCAAACAGCGTCATGAGAGGCACCTAGTTTGGTATGCATTGCGTCTTGATGATGACTGCAATTGCTTGTTAATCAGTTTGACATGAAAGGTGTAAGCTTGTTAGCAATTTGAGTTTCTTGTTCAAAATTCGCACTTCTGCAGCTACAGGATATATTGCGAATACAAACGCAATGTTGACTTTAATACGTCGTGGTCTACTACACATAATTAAATGATTTTGCGTACAGGTGAGTTTGTGAACTATTTTATGGTATATAAAAATATACTATAAAAATATATTAAAGTAATTTTCATATATAAGAATATAATAAAGAAAATGTAGTGCACTTCATTATATAAGTGAATTATATGATGTCATCAACATAACTAAATTAACCCTTAGTTCATTATGAACATCTTGAAAATGATAGCCCTAAAATAGTTGTGAAAAAATATAGGTTCTTTAACAAACCAAAAAAAAAAGAAACTTTTAAAAATGATACTTAAAAAAATAAAATTTCAATTACAACCTCTGCTTTTATATGACCTTCCTTTCCTTCCTTTTAATATATTCAGTCACCAAGGGGTCGATAAAAAATGTCATTAAGTTAAGATGTCATTAAGTTAAGGTCATATACAATAATTTAAATAAAAGTTTAGTTCATATGAGACTATATTTTGAGAAAGGAATATGTTTTAATCTCTAAAATTTTATACAACTATAAATAATTTAAATTATAACTATATTTAATATATTATTGATATTTTTGATTTAATGATATTTAATACAAAAAGTAAAAATACATACAAAAATTTACCTTTTTAATCCAGAATATGTACGTTTCCTATGATCGATTATTCAAAGTAAAAATTAACTTTTACATCACAATAAAATTTGTTCTTTTTATTATTCTTTAGGGCAAATGGATGATAACATACACCCAAAAAAATATATATAAGTGGTTCCAGAAGTATTGTTACAAAATCTAAAAAAGCATAGATTATAAAATATATAAAACAAATATATTTATAATTTATCACTTACAATATTTTTTGTAGTTAAAATATAAATCATGACGTTCTTGATTCTTCACATAAACTGTAATTGTATATTAGATCAACAGACATACATAGAGATCTTAGGATCCAAGGGTCCAGGGTTCAAGTCCCTGCTCGGGCGCCAATTGTAACGAACCTTTCTGGCCGGGGTTTTACTCGCCGGATTCAAGGTTCAGTCCTACAATAAATTTATTTGATAGGAACAGTGGAATACGGTGGATGGTGACGTTGGTACGGTGATATGGTTTGAAGAAATGTGAATTTCTTCTCTATACAATGGATTTGACGTAGAAATGTTAATTTCGACGCCCCTGACAAAAGGTTTGAAGAAATGTGAATTTCTTCTTTATACAATGGATTTGGCGTAGAAATGTTAATTTCAGCGCCCCTGACAAAAGGTTTGAAGAAATGTGACTTTCTTCTCTATACAATGGATTTTGGCGTAGAAATGTTAATTTCGACGCCCCTGACAAAAGGTTTGAAGAAATGTGAATTTCTTCTTCATACAATGGATTTGGCGTAGAAATGTTAATTTCAGCGCCCCTGACAAAAGGTTTGAAGAAATGGGAATTTCTTCTCTATACAATGGATTTTGGCGTAGAAATGTTAATTTCGACGCCCCTGACAAAAGGTTTGAAGAAATGTGAATTTCTTCTTCATACAATGGATTTGGTATGGGTGCTAATACTCATGTGGTATTATCACCTTACCGCGTAATTTACTAACGAAAATTTGATTTCGTTATGAACAATAGAGTAATAGAAATTTATATTTCTATTACTATTAACGAAATGTTAATTTCGTTATTAATTATGATTTTTAATAGAAATGTGTATTTCTATTAAAAATAAAAAAATAAAACAAAATAGAAATCGAGATGTAAATTTCGATTCTTGGTGCTTCAGCACATGTAATATAGAGCGACCTGTTCTTAGCTCGCTGTCTTGCTGAATGCCCGTCTACTGCGTTTGCTTCGCCTTTTATACTTGTGATGTGCGAAGCAAGCAGTACCTTTGTTCTTGTGATTTCAACGGTTCGTTGTTTACAAGTTTCTTTCTATTGTTGTTTGTTTTCTTGTTGTTTATTTTGTTTTTATTATATTTGTGTTGTTTGGTATTATTTGTGTAGTAAAATTTAGTTAGTGTAAATTTTATGTTACACTTCCCCGGTTTTTCCGTCGAATTGAAGGACTCTGATTATCTCGTGGAATGATTCCTTGTTCGTTTTCTTGGATTTTTGAAAATTTTAAAGAACTTGTCTTGAGCTATGATGTTATGATTGTCATCTTTTTGTTCAAGTATACCTATACGTCTTAATTGTTGCTGGTGATTTTGAATACTATTTGGAATCTCAGTCTCGACGAAACATTGTCTTAATAGCGTTGGTGACTTGGTTCCTTTTGCCTTCGTTTGATCTACGTTAAAGTTCTCCTGAGGTGGCAGTTGTTCCTGTTGACCTGGTGTTTCTTGACTTGGAAATTCTGTGTTAGACTCTGTGTTTTGTCGATTTATTTCTTGACTTGGTAATTCTGTGTTACATTCTGTGTTTTGCTGACGTTGTATTTCTTGACTCGGTAATTCTATGTTCGACTCTGTGTTTTGCTGACGGTGTATTTCTTGACTCAATAATACTGTGCTAGACCCTGTGTTTTGCTGACGGTGTATTTCTTGACTCGGTAATTCTGTGTTCGACTCTGTGTTTTGCTGACGGTGTATTTCTTGACTCGGTAATTCTGTGTAAGACTCTGTGTTTTGCTGGCGGTGTGTTTCTTCTGGTATTACTCGGGCTGGATGAAATACTTCTGGATTTTCTTTAATCGACATTAGGCGTTGCAACCCTTGTTGTGGAGGTGTGAGACATTTACATGGCGTTTGTGAAATTTCTTGTAGTGGTTTTGGATGCTGTTCTAGATAATTTCGATCCTGCAAGCTAAGTTTTTTTGTACGTAGGTTGGACTGATTCTGTAATGGGATCACTTGTGGATACTCGACTACTGTGAGCCTGATGAGCGCTTCTTTTGCTGCCGTTTGCGAATTAATGAAACTTCGCGAGGATCCTGTATCGATCGTGGCTTTCATGACTTGTTGATTAACATTTACTTGGGCCGACAGACGTGATTCACTGACCTTCATGCATCCTACTGGTGGGACGGGGTGTTGTTTTGAGGTCCCATCGCCCCGTTCTGTCGATGGACCCTGATCTCGTTTCCCTGGTTCCTGCAGCAATCAATTGTACGTTTTCCTTTTTTTTCCGCATTCCCAGCAAAATAAGATGCTTGTAAAACGACAATTCCACCTCAAGTGTCCTTGTTGTCCGCAACGACGACAAGCTGTCCTGACATCTTTGATCTTGTCTTCAGATGCATTAATCACTCTTGCTTTGATCTCCTTAGCCGGTAGCGTATTTCTTACTTGACGGTCTGTAGCGGTCAGTGCCTCCAGGTCCCCAGCTAATGTTAACAGCTCGGATAATGACTGGAAGTCTTTCCTACGGATGTACCATTGATACTCGGTACGGCTGTTCCGGTAGATCCTCTCTAATTTTATCTCTTCACTGTATGTTGAATATTGCATGATGTTCTGCAGTGCCAATACATAATCTCTGAACAGTTCCCGGGGTTGTTGCAGGCGGGCTCGTATTTTGTCCTCTAATTGTTCGAAGTATCTTGGGGGCAAGAAGAATGCTAATATATCTGCTTTGAATGATGGCCACTCGGTCCATCGCTTGTTGTTATTCCTGAACCAGATCAGTGCCTTGTCTTTTAGTACTTCAGGCATTAGCTTCGGTAATAAGTCCCGATGTATTCCGTACATATCTGCCAGTTCCTCGATCCGTTCTATAAATGGTAGTATTTCGTGTTCCCCTGAGTAGTGGCATTCCCATTTTCTGACTTGGTTGATGATTACTGGATATTCGGCCATGGTTAAACTTCCTCCCTTAGTTAACGAAGGACGTCTATTTTCAATGACTCCCGGTGATAAGCTTCTGATATGTAGTTTCGCGAGTTCCTGTAGCCTGGCGGTATCTTTCTCAGCTGCCTCTGAGTCCATGAACGTTGAAAGTTTTTTCCGAAGTTCCTCCAGTGAACCACTTGGATCTAATCCGAATTCGTCTGCGTAACTCACCAGTTCCTCCTTTTTAGCGAAGTAAATCCAAGATTTACCTCCTGATGTCAATCGTTTTGCGCTTGTCGAAGCGACTGCTGTTTTACGGCCTGCTTGTCCTGTCACTTCCTTGATTCCTGATGGTACCACCGTTGGTTTGTCTTCCATACTCAACTGAAGATGTTGGTCAGTTCTGTTCCCACTGTCCCTGCTCGGGCGCCAATTGTAACGAACCTTTCT